AAAGAAAGAAGAAGAAGAAAGAAGAAGGAAGAAGAAGAAGAAAGAAAAAAGGGAGGAGGAGGAGGAGGAGGAGGAGGAGAAGGAGAGAGAAGGAAGGAGGAGGAGGAGGAGGAGGAGGAGGAGGAGGAGGAGGAGGAGGAGAAGGAGGAGGAGGAGGAGGAGGAGAAGGAGAAGGAGAAGGAGAAGGAGAAGGAGAAGGAGAAGGAGAAGGAGAAGGAGAAGGAGAAGGAGAAGAAGGAGAACTAAAGGAAAATGCACCGAACTTTTGGGGGTAAAATAAATAGCTAAGAGAAAGATCCTATTAATGGAATCTGAATCCTGGCTGGGCGCAGTGGCTCACGCCTGTAATCCTAGTACTTTGGGAGGCCAGATGCACAGGTTGCCTGAGCTCAGGAGTTGGAGACCAGCCTGGGCAACATGGTGGAACCCCATCTCTACTAAAATACAAAAATTGGCTGGGCGTTGTGGCCGGTGCTGTAATCCTAGCTACTTAGGAGGCTGATGCAAGAGCATTGCTTGAACCCAGGAGGCAGAGGTGGCAGTGAGCTGAGATCATGCCACTAACACTCCAGCCTGGGTGACAAGGTGAAACTCTGTCAAAAAAAGAAAAAAAATCCTTAAGTTTAGCTTCCTCACGATAGGCTGCAATGTAGGGCAGCTTTCTAAAGTTTACTTCACTGGGAGTTCTAAAGGAAACTGTTTTCTGGGATTCCAAATCATCATATCCCTTGCTTCATTAGACAGAGGAAACAGAAAGCTCAACTATTGGCATTTTCTAATAATAAACCCAACAGAATTGTAGCAAGCTCAGGAAACAGACTGCTGAAAATGATACTCCTATGCTCAACAGACCTGAGTGGACAACAACGTTTCTTCTTTAAAACGTCCAACTCCAGTATGTGTGACTTTTTCATACTGTACTTCCAGAAGAGGTTTTGTAGTGGTACAAATGGAACCTGGAAACCTGAGTTCCTTGAGTATTTATGTGGCTTTAAACATGCAGCTATTCTACTGCTGAGTATCCTGCTTTCAGATGGAAGACACGCTAGCTTCCCATGTAACCTATAGTCATGTATCTTTCCTTCTTTCCCTTAAACTAGGACACAGTACTAAGGAGCCAATCACAGCAGGCAGGTAATTTACAGGGCCTGCTCCTACATGGAGAGGCTATATAATGAAACGAACCGAATTTTAGGTAAGGAAATACATACACTTAGCTTTTCTAAGCTTCAATTTTGCCAGCCAGATGAGAAAAAAATCCATTTCTATGTATTTTATGGGCCTGTTCCAGGGCATGCTCACTCTTCATGCAGACCAATGCTCACATACGCATAGATTTCCACCCTGCTTATCTCAAAAGAACTTAACAGAGAAAATGAATTAAAAATGAGTGAAATGAGTAAAGATGAGGAACAAAAAGGAAAGGAAAACATGTTAAGAGGATGTGAAATGGAGCCAGTAGTAAGCTTACTACAAAAACGCCTACTATGAAATCTTATATACCTGCAAGAGGCAGGCCATATCTTTGGCTCTAGACATTTTAAGAAGCAAGAGGAGGAGGGAAAATAATCAATTACAAAATACAATAATCATAATGCAAAGACAAACTAGCTGCCAACTATTCCTGATACATAGACCAAAGAGAAAATTTTCCTGAGAAGTTCTTCTACAGAAAATATTGACTAAAACAACAAATCACATCTGTAAGGTAAAGAGAGATGGATTTTCTGGTGTTTGTACTCTGGATAAAACAGTAAACATTAAGATCATCATTACTGTAAGATAAACAGAGAGTGATGTCACCTACCTGTCCAGTCTCTGTTTTCTCACTGCACCATTTTCCCAGATCAATCAGGCACTTATCCTGGAGGGCAGGATCCAGCTTGACATCCATGGCACGCTGGTGTAGGATCCTTTGGACTTCAGCTCGGCACTCCCGTGAGAGCTGCATGAGAAAAAAATGAGCTAAGTACTTGAAAGGTAACAAAACAAAAACACAAAGATATGAGATAAACCTGTTATGAGGAAACTAACAAATAATCCTGTATTTTATCTCCCAAATTTTATACCTCAAATATCTTCCAGAATAAAAGTTAAATGTTGCAGGAGGCTTCAAAAAGGCCTTATCTTTAGAAATGTGATTATATATATTCAGCAGTTTCTAATATACCATATAAAAAACATTCTTTTATGACAGTATCCTGATAAAAGTGAACTGACTTCATTCAGACTAGGTTAGTTGAAAGTTTTTTGTTTGTTGGTTTGTTTAGCAAAATAATTTGCCAGTGTATGAATGCCAAGTAGAAAGTCAGATCCAATTCAAGAGAGCATATATACTTGACTTAGGAGAACTGAGTTCAAACTGACCTAAATCAGAAAAAGCAGGCAAATGTAGACACAACAGTTATTATGAGACAAGACTGGACTCTTCTAGATGAGCGATGCAGAATTAGCATAGGTGAAAACCAGTATTTTTCCAAGGGCCATGAGAAAGCTGTTATTGACGGGTACAGTCTCTCTTGCAAAAAAGAAAAAAAAAAAGGGGCAGCATACCTGGGACAGGAAGAATGGAGAGTAACTGTTTAATGGACATGGTATTTCCTTTTGGAGTCATGGAATGTTTTGAAATTAGATAGATATGACGACCATACAACACCGTAAATGTACTACATGCCACTGAATTTTTCTTTTTCTTTTTCTTTTTTATTTTTTTTTATTTTATTTTTTATTTTTTTTATTTTTTTATTTATTATTTTTTTTTTTATCTTGAATTTTTCTTTTTAAAATGGTTAATTTGGCTGGGTACGGTGGCACATGCCTGTAATGCCAGCACTTCGGGAGGCTGAGGTGGGAGGATCACCTGGGGTCAGGAGTTCGAGACCAACTTGGCCAACATGGTGAAACCCCATCTCTACTAAAAATACAAAAAGAAAAAAAAAATTAGCCAGACATGATGGCAGGCTCCTTTAATCCCAGCTACTTGGGAAGCTGGGACAGGAGAATTGCTTGAACCCAGCAGGCAGAGGTTGCACTGAGCCAAGATTGCACCAGCACACTCCAGGCTCGGCGACAGAGCAAGACTCTTGTCTCAAGAAAAAAAAAAAAAAAAAAAGTTACTTTTATGTTCCGTGAATTTCACCTCAATTAAAAAAAAAGAAAAGAAAACTAACACCCCAGCAACTCTTTCTTATTTAAAAGAGAAGAAATCTCCTATTTTCCAGTCACTATAGTGGCTAGAAAGATGCCAGGATTTGGGAGTCCCCATGGTTAATGAGAGGGTCATTATACAAGAGAGAAAAAAAAAACAGTAACAACAAATTGCCATGTTTTCTTACACAGCAGTATAAACATTGGGTTAGGGTGCAGCAACTGAAGTATGCCATTTCCTTCTGAGTCCCCTCATTCTGAATTAGAGATAGCCAGGCTTTTGCATTAAGCTCAGAAGGGGTATTTCTAAGGATGGATGAGAAGTGATACCATCTCTATTCTCTGGAACAAAGGGAGGACTGATAATGGAGTATCTCAGAAGGTGGAGAAAGCCATCCTGGAGAACAAGCACATGTCAGTGTACCCGGGTAAGCAGCCGATGCTCCCACACAAACATCCCAACAAAAGGCAGCAGTTGGGGCAGACAAATACCAGGAGACTGAGGTATGGAGGTTTCTGCTCCAACCAGTTCATGGGCAGACAATGCGAATATGTTCAGCTGCCAAGAACAGAAGCGTAAAAGCGATTTGTGGCCTGACTAAAAGCTTCCAATGGATCCTTGAAGCTAAATAAAATTAGGACAGCAGAATTTAATTGTCCATTTGTGATTCAGATTTTGGGAATTTAAAGAAAAAAATCCGGAAATCTTCCCCTATCCACTTTGTTAAAAACATAAAATCAGATGATAGGAGCTGGTAGGGCAATTCTAGGTACACTCATAGAATGATGAAGTTTCTAGAAGTGTAGAACCTTCTCCCCACAAAATAGTCTAAAAAATAAGTTTCTAGAAGTGTAGAAAACTTTCTCCCCTAAAAATAGAATGAAGAAGTTTCTCGAAGTATAGAACCTTTTCCCCACGAAATAGTCTAAAAAAAGTTTTCCTAAGATGACTGAAATCAGAATAATATACAGCAAACAACTAAAAAAACAAATGACAGTAAGAAGAAATGAAGTCAATATTGACTGCATACCCTCCTTCCCTGTTCCTCAGTGCGGTAGGCGTGTCTGTATAAACAAGAGAACACAGCTCCAGGAGGCATAAGTTCACTGGTCTCATTCCAACCGTGGGTGTGGCAAAGACGAGAAGCATCTCCCTGACACTTGCGGTATAGGACAGGGTCCAGCCTATAAGGTTAAGAGTTAAAAGATGATAATCACTAATTAATAGACATTTCCTTCTAAAACAGGCTAAGGGTTTTTACGAGGTGCTTGCTTGTATACTCACTGATAATCACTTCCAGTGTTGTGGAGACAGAAGATATGTAAAAGTATACTCTTTTTTTTTTTTTTTTTTTTTTTTTTTTCTGAGACAGGGTCTCTCTCTCTCTCTGTCACCCAGGCTGGAGAGCAGTGTCACTATCTTGGCTCACTGCAATCTCTGCCCCGTAGGCTTGAAACAATCCTCCCACCTCAGCCGCCCAAGTAGCTGGAGCAACAGGAAGACATCCACCTATTTTTTGGTATTTTTGGTAGAGACAGGGTCTCACCATGTTGCCCAGGCAGGTCTCAAACTCCTGAGCTCAAGCAATCAGCCTGCCTTGGCTTCCCCAAGTGCTGGGATTACAGGCATAAGCCACCACACCCCGCCATGAATTCTGTTCTTAATGAACACACACTATTCAGCACTGTGGGAGACCTAGGGAGGAGGATAAACTTCTACAGGTTTGTTAACCTTCTACAGAAGATTTAAATTCTCCTTCAAAGATGTTATCTTGGCTATGTTAGATACCTAACATTTTAAGAACAGACTTAGCACTCACATGCCCTGGTTGAAAACAGAAAACTAGAGTTGTAGCCAACACCAGGCAATTCACAACGTTTTACTTAATACTTTTTACTAAATACCTTTTTCTAAGTATGAATGAAGTTCAATCCTATGGAATATATTAGACTCAGTATGATCAGGAAATGGCAAGATAGTCTCCTATTCAATTTTGTCCTCTTCCCGTGCAAGGTAAGGTGGTTATCTTTTTGGTTTACTTGAGGGTGCTTCTCAATGTATAAGCCTTGACATTTAACTCTGAATCTGGACACACTGGATTAAACGATGAGCCTGCTTCTTCTCCAAATCAGACCAGGGCATGCTTAATTCTGTCCATATTATATTGTCAACTTGGGTAAAGGGCTATTTAATGGGAGAAAAAAGCTAATATTTAATGAGTAACCATGAAGAGCTAATATTTAATGAGTAACTATGCAGCACTTTTTTTTTTATTGGGGGGAAGGAATTAAAGAAGACGAGAAAATGCGATTTAGATTAAGGCAATATACTCAGTAGACTATTTAGGTTTAGATGGCCTGAGTGAGCAAACGGAAATTATAGCCCAACTTTCTGTGGTCCTTTCCAGAGCTAATTTGAAGAAACAGAAATGAGAATACATTGAATCTTCAGGTAATCTCTTTCTAGTAAAGTGTGAGGGCAAAACACACACACACACACACACACACACACACACACACACACTCTCTCTCTCTCTCTCTCTCTCTCTCTCTCTCTCTCTCTCTCTCTCTCTTTTTGAGATAGGGTCTCACTGTCGGCATGCAGTGGCATAATCACAGCTCACTGTAACCTAGAGCTCCTGGGCTCATGTGATCCTCCTGCTTCAGCCTCCTGAGTAGCCAGTACTATAGGCACACACTGCCATACCTGGCTAATTATTGTCAGTTTTTGTAGAGACAAGGTCTAGCTATGTTGACCAGGCTGGCCTTAAACTTCTGACCTCAAGCTTTCCTCCTGCCTAGGTCTCTCAAAGTGCTGGGATTATAGGTATGAGCCACCGTGCCTGGCCAAAATATATATTAATCACCAAAAAAAGTTAACTACCACACCATGGTGGCTTAACAACTGAATGGAGAAGCCACTGGACATGAAAAGCTAGAGAAGCAGTCGGATCCAGTACTGGCTGTTTTGGAGGTGGGGTGAGCAAGTGAGACAAGGAAAGAGGGCGGAATGACAGCCAATGAACTCAGTGATTCTGGCTGTAATACAGATCCTTCTATTTCGTCCTCCCATTCCCATCACTTTGTGTTAACAGAATGAGAAGGAAATTGGAGAATCAAGTTGTCACTTATTGACAAAAACCTCTTAAGATAGACTTAATAACTTTGAATAAAGAAATAAAAACAAATTCCCATATCCATTGCAAATCAATAAAAATACAAGTGCACTATTATATTCCTAGAGACGTATCTGAAGGTGCTTCTGCCACCCCTACAGGTGCCATCATTCTTTCTAGACAGGTCTTTGTGGTATCAGAAACATTTTGACCCTGACTTCCAACGTACTGATGAACAAGGATGTGTGGTACAGACTGGGAGCAGGCTCATTCTGCTTTTAGATTATGTTCGGAAAGTGATAAAGCATTAGTCTTTTTCAGGAGACTGGGGTATGTTAGCTGTCCCAAAACTGAACAAAAAGAGTTTCCTACTGATTATTTGAATAAATACAGGTAATTATGACTACACAGGAGAACAGACTGAGGCAATACATTTACTTTGGCTTCAAAATACTCACTTCCAATCCCGGGAGATGAAATACTGCAGCTCTAAGAGACGGTGTTCACAATCTTCCACCATCTTCTCTGTGTATAAATGTTCCATCAAGCATGACAAAATCCTAGCCATAAAATGAGTAAAATTATAACAGGAGAGAAGTTTTCAGAACTCGATGTCTACATAATATTTCCCTGGTCTGTAGAAAAAGCCTTTTAGCTATTTTCTTAGGGCAATCAAATTTATTTTTCTGAGAATCACTCAAATTAACTGAACCTAACAGTGATTATGCCTTCTATCAACTTCAGAGCCACTCAGCACTTAAGACTCTGCATGCACCGGGGCAGTGTGCAGCTGCTGTATTTTTAACTGGTTATGAAAACTTTCCAACACACACAAAAGTAGAGAATCATGTAACAGCCACGTTCCCTCGCCATTACTTTATCAATCTATGGCCAGGTCTGTTTCAATTCTAGGCCCCTTTGCTGATATTTTCTAGCAAAATTCCAGAAACTTTTATCATTTCATTTGTAAATATTTCAGCATGTTTCTTTAAAATATAAGAACTTAACACCATTATCACACCACCATGAAACTATTTAAAAAACTTTGCTATCATGTAATATCCTGTTAGTTTTCAAATTATTTCAATTATTATTATTATTTTACAAGTTTGTTCAAATCAGGACCCAGAAAAGGATAACTGGTAAGTATCTTAATTTATTTTCAACTGCAGCAGTTCTTCCTTCCTTTTTCCCTCTCCCCAGCCCCCTCTTTGGTTGATGTGGTTATTTTTACATTGGTAAATATTCCTTTTTTTTTTTTTTTTCTTTAGACGGAGTTTTGCTCTTGTTGTCCAGGCTGGAGTGTAATGGTGCGATCTCAGCTAACCGCAACCTCCGCTTCCCAGGTTCAAGCGATTCTCCTGCCTCAGCCACCCAAGTGGCTGAGATTACAGCCATGTGCCACCATGCCAGCCTAATTTTGCATTTTTTAAGTAGAGATAAGGTTTCTTCATGTTGATCAGGCTGGTATCAAACTCCCAAACTCAGGTGATGTGCCTGTCTTGGCCTCCCAAAGTGCTAGGATTACAGGCGTGAGCCACTGCGCCCAGCCAGTAAATATTCTTAATTAGTTTTAAGTGTGTTTAACCACACAGAAAGCTTTAAAAGAAGAATCTAATTTTATAATTCTCTAGCACAGCATGAACAACAGCAGTTCTTACACAGCAGAATGAGATAAACATGGACTATATTCACTTTGTTATTGGGTATGGCCAACTGCTGGCTACAAAAATTTTTGCAGAATAAGGAAGCTGTTCTTTTTTTTTTTTTTCCCTCTCCACCCTTCGGAAGCTGTTCTTATTTTGCAGCTGGTTTTGTTTTGGTTTGGTTTTTTGAGACAAGGTTTTACTCTGTCATCTGGGCTGGAGTGCAGTCGTAGATCACAGCTCACTGTGACCTTGAACTCCTGGGCTCAAGCAATCCTCCCACCTCAACCTCTTAAGTAGTGGCGACTGCAGGCATATGCCGCCATGCCAGCTAATTTAAAAACTTTTATGTTGCCTAGCTATACTGCCCAGGCTGGTTTCAAACTCATACCTTCAAGTGATCCTCTCACCTCGGCCTCCCAAAACACCGGAATTACAGGCATGAGTTATTGCACCCAGCCATGGAGCTGTTTTTACATAATAAAAAATAAAACTAAAGTATAAGAATACTTTAATATAGCATTTATTCAGCTTTTCTAGATCTTAGATGCAACTCTAGTATTCGTTTTGTCCATTACCATTCCCTCCAACTACCACATTTTGTTTTCTGGAGTGCAATGGCGCGATCTCAGCTCACTGCAACTTCTACCTCCCAGGTTCAAGTGACTCTCCTGCCTCAGACTCCCAAGTAGCTGGGACTACAGCCACAGTCCACCCCCACCCAGCTAATTTTTGTATTTTTAGTAGAGATGGAGTTTCACCATATTGGTCAGGATGGTCTTGATCTCTTGACCTCGTGATCTGCCCGTCTCGGACTCTCAAAGTGCTAGGATAACAGGCAGGAGACACCGCGTGCGACCTCAAGTATTGTCTGATGATTACCAAGTAGCCAATGTATACAATGAGTCAATATACAACTAGGTTGAAAACTACAGAGTGCCAAAGTATGTGTCACTTATCCTGAGTATTTCTCTCTCTCATTTTTATTTGATCATTATATAAAATTATTCAGTAACCTAATATACAAGTCCATATATGCTCAGTCACTGTCAATAAAACACCATCACAATACTGGATCCAGGGTCTCTGTATCAGGGAGAGGCAGATCCTAGGTTTCAATTCCAATACTAGTTTTACTGAAAGTTGGTATATGTTCAACCTGTTCAACAAAATTTCAGTTAAGATCTCAAACCATCCAAAAGTCATTTGAAGGAATGTTGCTTGTGCTGCCAAGTAAAATACAATGCGGATAAATACCATGCATAAGATAACTTACATTGGGTCTCCGGATCTTATGTGTTTGCAGGCTGTCTGGATTACAGATTCACAAGCTTCATTCAAAGCTCGATCAATGCGATAATCTGCACCAGGGTCAGTCTCCTGAATCAGTGTTTGAAGCTGGATTAAAACAAATTAGGAGGGAAGAAAGCAAGCCACTTAGGTGCTAGGGAAGAGCAGTGTCTTCTTCATACAATCAGTTCCTCAGTCTTATTTACCACAATGTACTCCAAAAAAGTTGTCGACAGTTGTCACTAGCCAAACTCAAGAGCTCTTGGCAAATACTTTTCCAACTGGTTTCTCCACCTTGATTGCAGATTTGTCTATTTGGGTCACTGTGGGGACTGCTTATCTACGTTCTTACTAATCCTTGGAGGTCTTTTTTTTTTTTTAAGACAGTCTCACTCTGTCACCAGGCTGGAGTGTAGTGGCTCGATCTCAGTTCACTGCAAACCTCTGCCTCCCGGGTTCAAGCAATTCTCCTGTCTCAGCCTCCCGAGTAGCTGGGACTACAGGCATTCGCCACCACACCGGCTAGTTTCTGTATTTTCAGTAGAGAGGGGTTTTCATCATGTTGGCCAGGATGGTCTCCATCTCTTGACCTCATGATCCACCTGCCTTGGCCTCCCAGAGTGCTGGGATTATAGGCTTAAGCCACTGTGCCTGGCTTAATCCTTGGAGGTCTTTACAACATGAATGTGAATCTTTTTCCTGCATCTTTGCTTTTATCTGCCTACATGTTAATCAGATTACTAAACGTGGTGCTCACAGCAAAGTCAGAATTAAGTGGAAAAGAGTAAATAAAGAACATTTTCAACGAGAGACCTAATTTGGTCGTAAGAATCTAGAATTTGAATTTTCCTGCAAAGACAATGGTATTGTCAAGTGTGGTGGTATTGTCAAAAGCACATGTGCAATTTCATTTACCTTGAAGAAACATCAGTTGCAAAAAAGCAAGGTTACAGTACTAATGATCTCCTATTTTCCTCAACTACTTTTCTACAACCAAGAGGTAAACAAACTCAAGCTTGCACATTAAGTATACAGAAAAAATACTTGTCATTATGCAGCTAGAAATGAGACTATATTCTTTATCATTTACTTTTCTGTCCTGCCATGAATAAAGGAAAGACATGAGAGTAGATGCTTCATGTATTTTTTTTTCCTGCCTTTGAGGACAGGAGTAGATGAAAAGGCTCTAAATTAAAACCAAAAGAAGTGAGTTCTATTAATAGTTCTGGCTCTGACAGATTAGCTTTGAGAAGATGGACATATTGATTACCTTTAAGTTTCGGTTTCTCTAACTGCAAAAAATTATAAGAAATAATAATATTAATGTGGCATGTTCTGAGGTGGTATAGAAAAAAGAAAAAAGAGAAATAATATACGGGAGAATACTGGGTAAACTGCAAAGCATTTTATAGACGTGAAAGATCATTATTACTACAGATAAGCAGCAGATGGTATTTGGAGTAGAAACCTTTTTTTTTTTTTTTCCCTGAGACAGAGATCACCCAGGCTGGAGTGCAGTGGCATGATCTCCACTAACTACAACCTCCACTTCCCAGGTTCAAGTGATTCTTCTGCCTCAGCCTCCTGAGTAGCTGGGACTAAAGGCATGTGCCAGCACTCCTAATTTTTTTTTTGAGATGGAGTCTTGCTCTGTTGACAGGCTACAGTGCAGTGGTGTGATCTTGCCTCACTGTAATCTCTACCTCCTAGGTTCAAGCAATTCTTCTTGCCTCAGCCTCCCAAGTAGCTACGATTACAGGCACCTGCCACCATGCCTGGATAAAATTTTTTGTATTTTTAGTAGAGATGGGGTTTCACCATGTTGGACAGGATGATCTCAATCTCTTGACCTTGTGATCTGCCAGCCTTGGCCTCCCAAAGTGCTGGGATTACAGGTATGAGCTACCTCTTGGCTAATTGTGTGCGTGTACGTGCGCGCGTGTGTGTGTGTGTTTTTTGAGACTGAGTCTTGCTCTGTCACCCAGACCACGTCTTGCTCTGTCACCCAGGCTGGAGTGCAAAGGTGCAATCTTGGCTCACTGTAACCTTGAAACCTCCCGGGTTCAAGGCATTCTCCTGCCTCACACTCCAGAGTAGGTAGGATTACAGTGCCCGCCACCACACCCAGCTAATTTTTTGTACTTTTAGTAGAGACGGGGTTTCGCTATGTTGGCCAGGCTGGTCTTGAACTCCTGACCTCGTGATTCACCCGCCTCAGCCTCCCAAAGTGCTGGGATTATAGGCCTGAGTCACGGTACCCAGCTGATTTTTATATTTTTAGTAGAGACAAGGTTTTGCCATGTTGGCCAGGCTGGTCTTGAACTCAAGCAGTCTACCCACCTCGACATCCCAAAGTGCTAGGATTACAAGTGTGAGCCACCACACCTGGTGTTGGGGTAGAAATCTTTAGTAACAGAAAGCACAGTTGAAAACTATAATCCTTACTCGTTTGGGTTCCCTTTTGCCAAGTTAAAGAACTGGAATCATTTTGTGTCACTGATTTGTCCTCTGGTCCTTATATAGCTAACCTATGATCCCACAGGGTCTTCACTGGAACACCTGTGGGATCATAGGTTAGGTGTATGACCTCATCACAAATTTATCAGAGAGCCATAATCAAAAGGAAATAAAGGAAAAAACCACAAACTTCTATTATCCTAAAAAAAAAAAGCTGGTAATCTAGATGAGAGAAACATGAAAGACTTCCAATATTCTAGGATAGAAGTTATTTACACCAAAAATTCTTGGTGGCAGTTTAGAAAAGCTACAAAATGCTGTGGTGAGCTGGTAGGAAAATCGCTACTGAATGATTACCAATGTTACTTATGACATTTGTTGACAAAAACCAAAGATCACTACTGAATGATTACCAATGTTACTTACGACATTTGTTGACAAAAACCAAAGTATATTCATCTTTTTATGAGAAAAGTTGGAAGCAACATGGGAACCTGCAGGTCTTTGCAAGAACTGTATCAGTTAAATATCCATGACTGACAGGCAAACTTTAAGAAACAATAAATGCACTGGACTGAAGTTATTTACAGGCGAAAATGAATGCTCTCTAGAGCCTAATGGGCTAACAGCTCCACAGATCACTGCCATTCTGGAATTTAGTAACAGTAGCGTGTGAAATAAACACTCAAAATGTGAACTGCTACATGATTATACACCTATTCTAGCCCCTGGCATGCTTAGGAAAATCTGGGAAAATGCTTCAGAGAGATGACTAGAGAATAGACTGGCAGTTATCTTTGGCTTAGGAGAGCCTAGGCCCAGACTTATTGAGCCATGAATGAAGAGAATTTCACAGCTCACAATTATGGTGCATTTGGGAGGGTATGTACTCAACAAGATGATAATTATTCTTAAGCTTTACAGCTTACTACCTGTTGAGAAATCACTAAATCAATCACCAAGCAGACAACAGGGAAAACTAAATGGTCAACCACAGAGCAGGTATTGAAGTCCGCTGTATTAGGAAGAAAACGTTGAAAAAGGAAAAAAAAAAAAAAAAAAAAAAAAGGCCAGGCATAGTGGCTCATGCCTGTAATCCCAGTACTTTGGGAGCCCAAAGGAGGCGGACTGCTTGAGCCCAGTAGTTTGAGACCAACCTGGCGATCATGGCAAGACCCCATCACTTAAAACAACAACAAAAAAGAAATAAAAAGAAACTCCCCCAAAATGAATTATTTTAAAACACTCATCAATTTGACTGGGGACGGATTGCTGTACAAGATTAAGGACATTTTGCTTCCTTTGGATCATTTAGGCCTTCAGTTTTTGTGGGCAAAAGCTAAAAACCCTGGGTCCATAAAAATCAAATAAAACGCTTCTTTCCCAGTTGACTAAATTTATTTTTATTTTATTTTAATTTAAAAATTTTTTACTTTTTGAGATGGAGTCTCACTCTGTGGCCCAGGCTGGAGTGCAGTGGTGCGATCTCAACTGACTGCAACCTATGCCTCCCAGGTTCAAGCGATTCTCCTGCCTCAGCTTCCCGAGTAGCAGGACTATAAGTACATACCACCACAGGCTAATTTTGTATTTCTCGTAGAGATGGGGTTTCCCCATGGTGGTCAGGCTGGTCATGAACTCCTGACCTCACAAGATCTGCCCACCTTGGCCTCCCCAAATGCTGAGATTATAGGGGTAAGCCACTGCACCTGGTCCCACTTGGCTAAATTTAACATGGGCAAAATCATATGTTTCACTACTTGAAGCCACCCTCTCTAGATTTGGAAAGCACCCTTCTTCTGGGCACAAAAGGTGATGTGGGCAGTACTTACGTATCTTTCAAGCTGAATTGCTGGTTCTTTCAACCAGCTAGATTTTAAAAAGCCTTGGGTGTGAATTAGGTGCCTCAAAATAAAGTCAAACCAGTCTATTTTCTTTTTTCTGTATCCTTTACTATAAGCGTAGTCTCAATAAAAAGGTTTAGGTCAGGCATGGTGGCTCACACCTGTAATCCCCGCACTCTGGGAGGCTGAGGCAGGCGGATCACCTGAGGTCGGGAGTTCGAGACCAGCCTGGCCAACAAGGTGAAACTCAATCTCTACTAAAAATACAAAAATTAGCCAGGAATGGTGGTGCATGTCTGTAATCCCAGCTACTCGGGAGGCTGAGGCAGGAAAATCATTTGAAGCCGGGAGGCGGAGGTTGCAGTGAGCCGAGATTGCGCCATTGCACTCCAGCCTGGGCGACAAGAGTGAAACTCTGTCTCAAAAAAAAAAAAAAAGGGAAGTTCATTCCTGACCCTCCTCCAACAACCTTTCCATGTTGCTTTAAGGATGAAATGCAAATACAGGCTGTCTCCTGACTGATTTTTGGTCTGGGTCCCAGGACATACAAACAGGTTTCCCAGGACAGTTGCCAGCAAGAACTGCACCTTAGAAACAACACTGTGGCAAACTGAAACAGCAGATTCCTTCCCTTCTGAAGCCCATGTCAACACACTAGCTGCTCTGATTTAAGAACAGGCCTTGGTGAGGGTATTGGGCTCTGGTCAGTAGCCCAGGCCACCAGGATACCACAGAAGCCTTCCCTCCTGCACTAGCTTGGTATTTTAGAGAAGAAGCTACATTTGCCTATTTTCCCACCATGGGAAGCATAGGCACACATGCACACACACATACGCATGCACACACATGCATACACGCACTGGTGTCTACTTTGGGTCAAGGTGAGTAACAAAAGTTAATATGAAATTTTACTCCACATCCAAATTGTATAAAACTGTTGTGTTTCAGTCTTCAAAGTTGTTTCAGACTGTAAAATTCTGATTTTACATGATTATCAGGAAAATAAAATTCAGGTTGATATACAGTTTTTAATAAAATGCCAACTACAAAATAATAAGACTGGCTGTGGTTTTCTAAAGTTTAACTAATGAGAGAGCCTCAAGTTTCTATTCTAGGATATAAAGTGAAACTAACTCTTGTGCTCCCTACAGGAAAGTTCACTGCTCAGGGCACACTGGTGCACATGGTATGTTAAGTTGCTCTAAGACTCCTGCCCAGTAAAGAGCAATCAACATGGACAACAGGAATGGAACAGATGCACTAAATCTCCAATATTTTAACTTTGCGTTTCATACCTGACCTGTAGTTATTCAACTGTTTATAAGATGCTAGATCAAGAAGAACTTTATCTTCCCCAGCAAAGTATGCTAACTGTGAGGTTTAGGGCTAGAAGAGGAAAGACCCCCACTAGGGCACATGTTTACCTATGTAACAAACCTGTACATCCTGCATATGTATCCTAGAACCTAAATTAAATTAAAAAGAAAATGACTCTTCCATGCATAGCTGTCCTAGTGTATGAGGAAAAGACAGTGTGATTTCAAAAACGACATGCTCTCTTGATCCTTCAGGCCAGGAATTCATGCCATGCTGCAAATCAGTAACAAAAATAAACTTTTAGAAAAAATTTCAATTTATATCAACTCTCTCTTTCAGCCTCAACTCAATCAAGCCTATTTAGACAGGCAAATTCTCTCTTGGTAGAGGGCCCGTCCTCATGGATCAGAACCTGGTTTGCCTTGATTCTGAGTTTAGGAAATCCAGTCTAGCAAGCTGCCCTTTCGTTAGAAACCCTTAGCAAATAATGCTTTCTATCTAAGAAGGTAATTCTTTTTATTGATTATGAGCTCAAACTTTTGCTCTGTAGCAAATGCCACATTCTTACTAAGACATGTCTGAAGAAACAACGCTCTGTCTCTGGTGCTTAGTACCTAATTTTCAATGTTATATCACAAATGATCCAGATAAAGCAAGGTGGGACAGCATCAGGAAGAGGCTCCTCAGCTGATAAATGTGACATTCAAAAAGGCAATAGCAAAAGTCTCCTTACCGCCTGCTGGCAGTTCATTCCAAGGTTCCCCTTCTCCCCCCGAACTACTTTCATCAGACAGTGTAGGGTCCGTCCTTTTCGATGTAATCCGGAACAATGGTGTTCAATCTCCCCCCGACAGCTTAGGATGATCTCAGGGCTCAGAGAAAAGTCTTCCATCAACATGCGTCGGTAATCCAACATCTCCCCCTGGCACTCACTGCTCACTTGTCGCCCTAAGTTAGGATGCAGGTCATAACATTACAGAGGGTAATGGTATGCATTAGCATCACAAATCACCACCTATTAAAAGTACAGATTTCTATCTGTACTACAATATACCTACCAGTCATACTAAAGAATAAGCAAAAGCTTTAGCAGCATAACATAGGCTTAGACTCCAGATATTCAGGCTTCTCCTGTCAGCGTTCTGCATGAAGCAGGTGTTAGACTACTGCACTAATAATGCAGATACTTTGCCCGTGAAATTCTTATCAATAACTTTTGGGGTAAAAATGAAAGCCAAAGAACAATCTCCACTGGCCTACACATTTAAAACTTTTGGAAAAGACTACACTTCAGACATTCACTACAGGCTCCCCCACCTTCTTTGATCTGTAAATGCCAATGGGGAAAACTTAAAATAAAAAGATTAAAACAAAACAAAACAAAAAATGGTCACCCAGACAGTTGGTTTAGTGATAGAGTTAAAAATTGAAGCCAGGTCTGCCCCATGTGCTAAATCATGCTACCTTGAGTCCCCCCAAAATGCCCCACAATTTTCAAAAATGAGAAATATTCAGCTGGGCATGGTGGCTCACGCCTGTAATCCCAACACTCAGGGACGCCAAGGTGGGAGGATCGCTTGAGGCCAGGAGTTCAAGACCAGGCCGGCCAACATGGTGAAACTCCATCTCTATTTTAAAAAAATAGTAATAATTAATTAAAAAACATGGAAAATAAAAAAATAAGTATGGGAGGAAACTAACATTTACATATGAAAAACTTTAGAGTATGAATCCCAAAAGGAACATATATGATAAAAAGAAATGAACACTACCTCTGTGTACAGCTGACTCCAGGCACATGAGCAGGTAGGATAGCCTGGCTTCACGGGATCGCGGAAGGTTTTCCACATTGCACCGGTATTTCTTCAAGTCACTTTTACAGGATTTGGCCAGTGAATAACTGACTTTATAATCCTGGGCAATCAGCTTTTGGCGGGTTGTGAGTGCTTCTCGACACTGAAGAAAGAGTACAGCAAGAGCCGTGAGACCACTCATGTGGTTATGCTGTTGATGTGCACCTCTAAGATGAGCACGTCGACTCAGTCAGGTATATGTTAACAACTGCGGTTATTACTAACATATCTATATTTAAGTTTGGTTAAAATTTGCACAACTGAGCTAAACTAGTATGGTGTGAGACAGGGGTGAGGGGGTGGGGAACCTAGAAATTCTGTAGTCACTTGCGAAGTGTTGCTGCAATAGCAGTGTCCAGAACAGATCCCAATACATTAACTTGACACACAGCATCCTTTTCCACTTTAACAATACTCCTAACATAAATTTCAACAGCATCAAACTGGCAACTAACATTAACACTTGCGATATTCTAGTCTATACTTTAAATTACAATTATTCAATTATTCTATATTATGTGAATAATGATATAAGATTTGAATAAGATTATTCAAATGACATAAGAAAACAGAAATGAGAAACATTTCTTCAGCTACACTGGAAAGTAAATGACAAGACAGCAAAATTAATTGTTTCAAAAGTCATCAATGATTCCTGCATTCCTCCAGGGACAGAGAACTAAAAGAGGATGCTTAATGATACAGCTGCTGAAAAATTAAATAATTACCTACAAAGCACATTGATTTGGCTAATCTAAGCTTCTTGAATAGGCAGGGCTGGCCTCAGTGTGGTTTTATATAAAATCACACTGAGCATTGTACATAAAACCAGTGAGAGGTGGGCCGATCACCTGAAGTTACAAGTTCGAGACCAGCCTGGCCAACATAGTGAAACCTTGTCTCTACCAAAAATACAAAAATTAGCCAAGTGTGCTGGCAGGCACCTGTAGTCCTGGCTGCTAGGGAGGCTGAGGCAGGAGAATTGCTTAAACCTGGGAGGCAGAGGCTATAGTGAGCGGAGATCATGCAACTGCACTCCAGCTTGGGTGACAGAGCAAGACTTCATATCAGGAGGAAAAAAACAAAACAAAACAAAACTGAAAAAACCACAGTGAGAACCTCACTTGGCTTCTCACTGTCTGTATCACAATCAGGGCTTCATTTTCTTGGTTTCAGCCAATCTTGGGTTTAAGCTTGGTTTCAGCTGAAACCCAAGTACCTCACCTTTGAAAGGAATGAGCTTTATCAGTCATTTACATTTTTGTATAAGATTGTAAGTATTGTTTGAGAGAATTTGAGAAACCTTTTAAAAAATCAAAATATTCATTAGTTTCAAAGTAATACTTACCTTTTCACTCATGGATTCTTCAAATTTATGATTAAAGAGGCACTTGTACACTCTGCCCTCACCAGCCTGTGTCTGTAAGATGGAACATACACTACTTTAGCTAACTAGTTATGATGAACATTATCCACAATCTCATACAGAACTTTCTATTAAATGATTACAACGGTAAGCACCTTTGGATAAACATTTTTAAAATTTATAAAATTTACTAGCCTTTGAACAAAAACAGTAACTGCAGTAAAGATGAAAAAAATATCCCCATGATATGTGGCATTTGTCATTTGTTCGCAGATGTATTTTGTTAATTAGGGAACCAAGAGAAGTGTCAGAGTCTGAGTCTTCTTTTTTTTTGAGACAGCTTTGCTCTGTTGCCCAGGCTAGAGTGCAGTGGCACGATCTTAGCTCAGCGCAACCTCTGCCTTGCAGGTTCAAGTGATTCTCCTGTCTCAGCCTCCTGAGTAGTGAGATTATAGGCACCCACCACCATGCCGAGCTAATTTTTGTATTTTTAGTAGAGACAGGGTTTCACCGTGTTGGCCAGGCTGGTCTCAAAATCCTGACCTCAAGTGACCTGCCCGCCTCAGCCTCCCAAAGTGGTGGGAGCCACCGTGCCCAGCTTCTGAGTCTTGTTTCTTACAGGCGTATGCTAGAGTTAATAAAACTCTTACATCAGTGGCTCTGATGGTTAAAGCTGTTAATTCCAACCAGCAGGCAGAGTGGAAGTATACACAAGTTACTTTCAGTCCCTTGTTGTAAGGATGGAGAGACCATTCTATTTAAAGTGTTAGAAAGCTGTTCTATAGAGTCAGGAGGTGGTAATCAAGGATTTGGTTTTAAAAATTAGCCACCTGCTGTTTCTTCACCTTAGTCAAAAACATGTAAGTGTGTGTAAAAGTTTTAGCCACTGAATAGATGTGAAAAGGATCGTGGGTAAAATAAAATTCCCATGGATAAAACAGATTTCCAAGAACTGAAATTGAGAAGGGAGATAAAGCAGAAAAAATACTATGTGGAGATCATCAGAAGCCAACTCTTTTTTTTTTTTTTGAGACGGAGTTTCATTCTTGTTACCCAGGCTGGAGTGCAATGGCACGATCTCGGCTCACCGCAACCTCCGCCTCCCGGGTTCAGGCAACTCTCCTGCCTCAACCTCCCGAGTAGCTGGGATTACAGGCACGCACCACCATGCCCAGCTACTTTTTTGTAGTTTTAGTAGAGACGGGACGGGGTTTCACCGTGTTGACCAGGATGGTCTCGATCTCTTGACCTTGTGATCCACCCGCCTCGGCCTCCCAAAGTGCTGGGATTACAGGCTTGAGCCACCGCACCCGGCCCAGAAGCCAACTCTTAACTAAATGTTCAATTATAAAGGTTGAATATCCAGTTACCACTTTCTGCTATACTGGGGCCAAGTTCATCTTTCATTTCTGCAGCTTTTCTACATGTGAGGTTTCTTGATGGCTTATTTTAGATTAGAGTGTTAAAAAATATTTTATGACTAGTTGCAGTGGCTCATGTCTATAATCCTAGCACTTTCAGAGACAGAGGTAGAAGGATCATCTTAGGCCAAGGGTTCAAGACCAGTCTGGGCAACATAGCAACCTCCGCTTACAAAAAGTTTACTTGGAAGGTGAGGCAGAAGAATCACTTGAACCCAGGAGTTGGCGGCTGCAGTGAGACATGATCACACCACTGCACTCCAGCCTGGGTAACACAGCAAGACCCTGTCTCAAAAACTGGGTAGGCTGAGGTGGGAGAATTGCTTGAGGCTGGAAGTTCAAGATCAGCCTGGGCAACATAGTGAGACTCAGCCTCTTAAAAAACAGTACAATTAAATTAATTAAAACAAAATTATCTATGTGTGAAAATAAAAGGAAGAACACAACAGTTTCTGAGCTGACTCACGTTTTCACAAAAACGCTCCCGATCATCTCGGCAAGCAAAATATAAATGCCGGTCTAAATGAAAGTCATCCGAGGACAGCTCAGCCACCCGGAGAATGGCTTTCTTGCAGAGTTCAGAAACTTGAATCTTGGGTTCTCTTTCTTCTGCTTCTTTCACCAGGCCTTTCTCCAAGCATGATACCACCTCACCTTGTGAATGTGCATCCTAAAATAGCAAGGATATTAATATTTTAAAACTTGCACCCATGGGTTTCAAATAAACAACATTTGGCTAAATATACACACACACACACACACACACACGCACACACACACACACACAATTATAAAACACCAACATGGAGTTAGCTCATTAACGTGCTATTGAAAAATCAAGTCAGAACCAACCACACTGTGGAAGTTAAAGAAAATGCCCTCAATGACCTTCAGTTAGAATATAATACTTGCATGCTACAAATGGAAACAAAGATCCTGGGAAGTTTAACTACTACAGTTTAGTTAGCACTAGAAATAAGAACCTGAATTTATAAAACTTTAAAACGTCAAAAATTCTTAAGAAACACATCAGCTCAATGTTCTGGTCATAGTTCATGTCAATACTGAAATTACATTGCTGAAATCTCTGTTCATTTGTCTCTAAAAACTAGGCATTTCCCAAATAACAGTGCTTTCAGTCAAGTTAAAAACCAACAAACCACAAAATCTACTAAGAAGTTACTGAGACCTTCTTTCTACTTTTCCTCCTCTGTAGTGTCCACGAATACCCCAACATGCACCATCTGTAGTTTAATACTCATGCTGATGTTTTGGATTTATCTTAATGGGATTTAACAAGATTACCACTGTTTACACAAACTGCTTTTGAGAGTTTTCCTAAAAACCATCCAATTATCTTTAATTGTACATTTCATCACCGACATAGCAACCACAAACATTCATTCATGCAAAATACGAGATAGTTCCCCTAAGTGTTTTCCATTCAAGAGTCCTAATCTATACTCATAAGATATGCTTCAACAATTTAAGGTATAACCACTAATATAGCAAACCAAAGCATCTTAAAATATAGTGCTATCACTTATTTATACACACACACTCAAAATCTTGTTAGAATAAAATACGTATCTATGAAACAATCTGTGTATAATAAAAAGATTTTGGCCAGGCGTGGTGGCTCATGCCTGTAATCCCAGCACTTAGGGTTGCCAAAGCAGGTGGATCATCTGAGGTTGGGAGTTGAGACCAGCCTGGCCAACATGGTGAAACCCCATCTCTACTAAAAATACAAAAATTAGCTGGGCATGGTGGCAGGCGTCTGTAACCCCAGCTACTCAGGAAGCTGAGTCGAGAGAATTGCTTGAACCTGTGAGGTGGAGCTTGCAGTGAACCTAGTTCGTGCCAGTGCACTCCAGCCTAGGTGACAGAGTGAGATGCCGTCTCAAAAAAGAAAAAAAAAAAAAAAAAA